CCTAGGTGACTGAATGTTATTTTTTACCTTTTCTGTGTGTCACATATCACATTATGTATGCCACCTACTCCTATCTGGCTATGATATGCCACAAATCACACAATCAACGCTAGAATACACTGTTTATTAATAATGTGCATTTCTTAGATTTAGGGTTTTTTTTCCCTGTCTATGGGCTTCAACAAAGTAACTCCTGATTTTGTAAGCTCTGAAGCAAGACAGCAATATAATATTAAATTTGACCAGAATTCAATCAGGAAGTTTCAGCTAATATAGAATCAAGTAATTCCTCTTGCCATATGTATAACTCTGATGAACTTTACTTGTAGGAGCTTTGGCGCTTTTTTGAAAATCTGTCCAACTTGCGCATGAGTTCTGTAGAAACTTGTAAGTGTTCTGATTATAGTTTATGAATTTTCATAGTTTTATTGCCCCAAGTAGGAGAGATTTTGGTCAAGGAAATTACCAGGCACTTAAAGCAAAGAAAGACTTTTTTCACTGACATTCTAGATTAGACTCTCAAGTACAGTCTTTTCCTCAGTTTCTGATGAGTTAAGAAGCAGGCTTTTTTGCTGTGTTTTTTAAAAATTTGAGTCAATTTCCTATAATTAATTAATTTACTTATAATAATTACAGTGATGCCAAGACATATATATCTCATTATTTGGGAGAAATTGGCTTTTGGTGACTTGTTTTCTACACAGTGTCACGTTTAAGCAGTTTAATTATAAATGCCAATGTCTGACTCAAGTGAAGTCCAAATGGAAAGTCTACCTTCATGCTACCACTTATCACATGAGTCATCTCATTACCATCATGTAGTCAAGAAATCTGTTGAGTTTTGCATAATTAGTCACAGCAAGCATGTATTCCTAAAATTCCATATTTTGAAAGTAAATGCCAATTTCACCATCACCACTCTGAAGATATCATCACTGAAAATTCTGGATAGTAATATTCTCAATTTTATCAATCTCTATTTTTTATATATAAAGGTAAATATGTTTATTGTTGAAACTTTGGGGGGCAAATAGAAGAAAAATAAAAAGTGCCCATAATCCTATCATTCAGAAATACCATCATTAAAATTGTTGGTCTTTCTTTCTAGATTTATGTTCTATAAAATGTTTCTCTTAGACAGTGGAGGTTATGCCATATATTTAGTTACCTGATGTCAAAACTTTCCCTAATGACATTTAATCATGATTAAATATTATTAATAATTTTTCATAAATGTGTTAGTGTAGATATAACATTCTGTTGTGATAATGCACCGTAATTTAGCCATTTTCCTATCAGTAGACATGTCTTATAGTCCCAGCTTTGTCCAATCAACAGCCTTTGGGTAAACACTTATTTGCAATCAAGTGGCTGTGGGCTTCATAGAATCTATAAAGCTGATGTTCAGGAGTCTTATAATCAAATACACAGAGCATATCAGGATAGGTGCTGAAAGAATGATAATAATAATAAAAGCCTTTGATGTAATATTATTTTTGCCACATAACATTTGAAATTGTTGAAATAATGTTATAGCCTGTCAGTTAGTGTTGTGCCATTAATACAGTGATATACCACTATTCCACTGGAATTAAATTAGTTTTTATCATTTTTTTTTCTGTTTTAGCATACTGTCAATACAGTAGAAGTTGAGTTGACAGAGAAAAAAATCTATATGGTATGAAAGTTGAGATATGATTTACAAAAAACTTCACAATGTAGACCAAATATCAAGTTAGTTCTAATAAAGTGTGGAAGTCAATCAGCATTCCCTGTTGGGTTTCCAACAGGATAGAACATGAAAAATGAAATCGGAAGTCCTAAGAGATATGTTGTCAACTCTCTCCTGCCCATTTCCACACCAGTACTTGACCCAGTGCCTTTATAAAAATGTATTGTATTGCATAAGAGCTATTTAGGCTGCTGGTTAAAAGCTGTATCAGTCAGATTGGGCCAGCATGGGCTAGAGTAGAGTAGAGGCCAAAGTATCCAAAACCTCCAAACCTCAGAGGAGAGAGCTACGAGTGTTTCCTTCTCATTCATACTTCGTGTCCATCACGAGTGAGACTCAGTTTGATCTAGTCTGTCTTCACTCCAGGACCCAGAATGAAGCAGCAGCCACTCTCGTACATGAAAAGAGGCCCTGTTGCACTTTAGTTTGAGAAGTCAGGAAAAGCATTCCTGGGAAAGTGAAAGTTGAGTTTACTTTGAGATGTCCCTGTTTCTTACTCATTTTTATGACATGCACAAATTTGTTGTCAACTGTTCAAGAGTTAAATAAGGTCATAGGTAGTTAGCACAGTGTAACCGGAGCTGGTTTGAATCCACATGATACCTCTTACCAGTTGTACATCTTAGCATGTTCTTTGCTTTTAATTTTTAACTGTGATAAAAATACACATGACATATTTCCATCTTACCCATTTTTAAATGTAAAATTCAACAGTGTTAAGATTTATTATTCTGCAGCCAATCAACAAAACCCTTTTCACCTTACAGAACTGAAACTCTGTACCTGTTAAATGACATCTTCCCAATCCCCCCTCCCCTACCCCTGCCAACCACCATTCTACCTTCTATCTTTATGGTTTTGACTATTCTAGCTACCTCATATAAGTGGAATCATATAAATTTTGCTTTCTATGATTGGCTTATTTCACTTTGCATAACTTCCTCAAGGTTCACCCATGGTATAGCATGTGTCAGAATTTCCTTCCTATTTAAGGCTGAATAGTGTTCCAGTGTATGGATATACCACATTCTGATTACCCATTCATCTGTTGATGGACCCTTGAGTTGCTTCCACCTTTTGTCTATTGTGAATGATGCTGCTATGAATATGAGTGTACAATCTTTTTTTTTAAACTCTGCATCTAGGTTACCCATGTACCAAAATGGGCATTATAAATGCAGTGTAATGAAGATTAAGTAAATTCTATTATACAAAAGCACATTCTACCATGCCTGACATATTATAGGTTTTAATAAGCATTTGTTGCTAACAATAATAGAATTTTGAATGTGGAAGGAAGGTTTATCTGGTCTAGGATTTTCCAGATGTTATTTTTACCAGTAGTAGTAAAGGATGATTTTAGAATGGTCCACAAATATATATATTTTTAATTTTTAATGCTTCATTTATTATAGAGTATCATAAGAATGTTAACTAGCACATCAAGCTCACGACTGTATGAATATTAGTGTTTAGGACAAGACTAAAGTTGATGTTTGTGTGTGTGTGTATATATATATATATATATATATAAACATATATATAAAAACATATATATATATATGTTTCTAAATCCAGCTCATTTTGTTTTTAATATGAAAAATGGTGAAAATGGGACATGACTATCTGATACTTGGAAACACCAATGAGGAAAATGAGTATAATCAGCCCCTGGAACAAAGCTTTTATTTTCCCCTTCTTTCTCTTTTCCAGTTTTTTTTTCCTTTCTTTTTGTCCGTTCTAAAAGTATTCAATTCAGGCTGGACTCATTCAACTCATCTATTTTGGGACTCATACAAAATAAATCCCAGTGTTAAACTTGCAGTCACTGCTTCTGTGGAACTAATGTTGGAATAAATGATTCAACCAAAATCACTCAAATTTTCTATAATCTACAAGCGCACATCTTTTGGCAGGACAAACCATGCTGAAGTATGTCATCTGAGCTGCATCAAATGGAACCTGACCTTTTATAGTGCTGCCAGGCCACAGGAAATCACAGACTTTGGGACAATGTTCTAACGATTTTGCATTTATAGCATTTGGATTGAGCCACCAGCACATGGTCATTAGTATTTCACCCCTAAGCAACGGCTGTTATATATTTTTGGTTATCAAAGCATTGCAGCTTGAAGGCTTTGAGCTGACCTAAACTCGTTAATACCAGATCACAAATGTTAAAGGCAGTGTAGAATCGTGTTAAAGACCAGACAGTGAGCAAAAGAATCTGCAGGGAACACAGTCTTGTTTAGTGTCATTAGTCACATAAGTGTTATCTGAAAACTCTTCCCATCTGTAAGTCCAGCCGTCTTTCCCTCATGGCAACAGTCAATGATGTTTAGAAATTTTGCAGCATAGCCAATCTTTAATATCATTTTCCCGTTACCAATTCAGTTAGCCACATCACATTCTGTGGCTAACTCTGCAAGTGCAACATATTTCAGCACTGTTTTGGGCAATTGTAATGCTGTTGCCAAATGGATAGTATTATGTCTGTTGTTTTGGGATTGATGAGAAACTGAATTTTCTGTGTCTGATGTTGCTACTGATAAATGCTATTGAACCCCCTGCCTCCAGCATCCAGTGTTCATGAGAAGTAAACCATGAATCCAAGTATTTAAACCTCAGAGGGATTCATTAATTATCTAATGGAATTCTCATTAACGTTTCAGTGTTTTGCTTGATTTTTCTCAAAAATTGATTTAAACTTGCAAAACGAAGACTAAAATATAGACTCTCTGCTGCAATTTTTCATGTGCGTAGCTATTACTTCATGGGAATACATCAAAGTAATCCTTATTTTTGACTGCCTCCCATTTTGCTCATCTCATCATACATGGCTGGCTTAAAAATCATCCACACTTCATTTCCTGCCACTCTGATCTGCTCAGTTGGCAATTTCTCTGTATGTGTCAAAACAGGGCATGCTGCCTGCCTTTCCTGGTCCATCAACAGTTATTCCTCTAGTGGTGGAGAAAGGAATTTCTTTCTCTCCACTATCAACTTGTTTTCCAAACCATTGTAATAAGTAAGAAATGCCCTAATGTATGTGATGAATACGATAAATTCTCATAATGTAATGGAAAAGCCTTTTTCAAAGCAAATTTAGCTACTGGGTTATTTTTTCTGATTCAGCCTATAGACTACGCGTTCCCAAAGAGATTCCTTTTTCTATTTCTGCTGCTTTCTATGATCCTCCTTTATCTGTTCTATGTAAAATATCGCTCCACGCTCAAATCTGTTTTAATTTCTCATTTTGCATCTCAAGCTCCCAGTCAGCCACCAGGAAATGTTGTTTGGAATGCTACAGACACGAAAGTGTTACTTAATTGGGAGCAAGTTAAAGCCATGGAGAATGAATCAGAAGTAACAGGATATAAAGTAAGTTGTATCATTTGCAGTGCTTTCTTTTCCTACTTCTGGCAGTACTTTTCAAGGGAAGCTAGATTTGAACAGCTTCTCTAAACACTGATGACGTGGTTTCTATAAACTACATTTGACATACAGATATCAAGCTGTTTACAAAAAGGGTGTTTTTTTCGAAAATGTCTGATGCCTTAAATGTAAATTGAAGTGACCTGCAATAATTCTGCTCATGTGAGAATTTTAGACAAAATGTTGGTAAATTGTTCTATATGTTAGTTTCTGATTTCCAATATTCACCTGTATACCACATAAAAAACAACTCACAGTATTGGCTCTGATTCTTTAGTCTGGTTCAAGATCCGTACAGTAGGGCCTTGCCCCATCTCTCCAGCCTTACAAATTTCTAACCAGCTGAACCCTTCCGTGGAAGAAGTTCACTCTTTCCCATGTCCTTGATTTTAAGAACCTGACGATTGTACCATGTGCTGATCCCCAGCCTAGTCTCAGGTCTATGAGAAAGCTATGCATGCAGCATACATTCTAGTGGGTACAGGAAACCAAATGATAGACATGAAGTAACATCAGAATAATAAGTTCCATGAAAAAATAAAAGGGCGATATAAAACAAATTTATTTGTTCATGCATTTTAGGTTTTCTATAGGACTAGCAGTCAAAATAATGTGCAAGTGCTGAACACAAATAAAACTTCAGCTGAACTTTTGCTGCCCATTAAAGAGGACTACATTATTGAAGTTAAGGCCACAACGGATGGAGGGGATGGGACCAGTAGTGAACAGATCAGGATTCCAAGGATAACCAGTAAGTTGGTTGAAGTCCACACTTTCCTTAACTCCCAGCATCGGTGTGATGAGCCCCCAAGAGGAAGTCAATCAGTGACCCCCCTCCACTGTTTTTTTCCCACCATATCTTTCATCTGAATGCTGAGAAGGTTCTAGAGTCTGAGAGATGAGGGCAGGAGGGATTCCTCACTAGTGGTGCAAAATAAGGAGACTGGTAAGAGCTGAAAAGACCAAAAACACATGGAGAAATATTTAGCAAACTTCATTAATTTTATTGTTTCCTCCTTCTGAGCTATGCATAAATTTGCCTTTAGATTGTCATAAAAACAGAATTCCTTAAGCATTTCTCAAGGGCAGTATTGAACCCACAAACTGTTTTTAAGATCTCTACTATTCCAGTTGTTTGCCTCCTAGAAATTTTAGATGAATCTTAACAATTCTTTACCAAGTAGAAAATTTAACACTATGAAGGTCATAACCCAATTGGCCAAACTAAAAGAAAATGTAAAATATATGTATCTTATTTTCTGATTTCAAAGCAGGTTCACAGTAACTTTTCCTTTCAAAATCCAAATTAAGCCTATTTCATGATAGAAATTTTACTTTTAGAGTTAAGGGAAACAGATTTTTCATACATATTTTATCAGTGACCCTGGTAGAAAAAACTTTATCTTTTCTTTTAAATCTCAAGTCTGGAGTTTTAGGGCCTCAATTTAAGTACTACAAAAGCAATCTTGTCTTCATATTTCTAATATCTGGTTTGGGTTATTTAAAACCTAAATAACTTTGTTTCCTGTTTCTTTTCATTGAGCTTGGCCTAGTCTACAGTCCTGGGCAGTCAAGATTAAACATTTTATCAGTAATCTTGGAAAACAAAATGAGGGCCATCATTAGCAAGTAAAGAGAAGGGGAGATGTGGAAACTTGGGGGAATTTTATCTTTTCGTAAAATCGTCAAGACGGCAATACTTAGAAAGTATCTGTATGGAGAAAATTGGAAATAGTTATCTCCTAACGGAGTACTACAATGTAAAAATCTATAACAGCCATTCAGGGCTACAGACATAACTGTATGCACTTCAGTAAAGCAAAACCAGGAGTTAATTGAAACATTATTATTATTATTATTATTATTATTATTATTATTATTATTATTATTAATTATTTAGGTTTTAAAATTGACATGCTGTCTTGTTCCTGCGGTAGTGCAAGGTACAGAGTTAACATTACAATATGGCCAAAATGGAGCTGTTAAAAGGAATAAGTTCTATGCTTTTGCAGAAGCAGGCACAATTTTAATATTTGAGGGCTGCTGAATCTAGAGTAGCCTTTTCCTCTGACATCTGTCGTCTAGCTGAGCTTGCAAAGATTGTTGCAGACAAGTCCACCTCTAGGAAGATGGAGCTTTTACTGATTGCTTTTTTAGGATGATGTGTTATATTATGCATAATAATTTGTATCTAGAAATGCACAAAAGAGAAACAAACACAGATCTCCTGAGTCCGTCTCCAATGAAGCTTTCTTTAATTAAGCCATTGAATTATCTCAGAGTTCTCTGTAATGGAATATAATTGTTCTGAGAATGATTAAGTTGTTTTTCCTATTTCAATTAAAGTTAAATAGTACTAGATGAACAAGGCCCAGAATTACTTAAGAAGCCTAAGTACATCAGGGTTTTTATAGACCTTCTTGGCACATAATATATGCTACACTGATAAATAAAATGAGGGCTGATGATAACTTGAGATAGTGGGTTAGGCTCATGAGATGATTTGATGGTGATAAAGAAACGTTGCTTTTGCCCTGATTACTGAAAGTGGTACCATCCTTACTAACAAGCTGTTTATCATCTTTGACAGATGTGGATGCAAGAGGTTGCACTTCCGCCCTCCCCAATGTCCACCCTGTGTCAAGTTATATCTCTGTAGTACTGTTCTTTATTGTAAACGCCCTGTGGTGATACTAACATTTTTTTTATTATTATTTACTAGAAAATCAATGGGTTACAAAAAAAGTGCTTTCATGAAATGCAGTGATTATGCATGTTTTTTTCCAACTCTGTATTTTTAACTTTCTACATAGGTAAAATATGAATAGAATTTTAAAAACCCATAAATCCTTTTAGGAGACTCTGAAATGCCTTAATATTTACTTGATAAACCAAAGGAATTTACATATTACATACTTCAGATTTTTGATATAGACATTCTTAAGCTATGGTTTTAAGCACTGCCTATGGATAAAGACTCACATGGTCCCACATGTACACACTCACACACACGTGCACATGTACTTTTCTTTTTGTTAATGCAGAAAAACTCATTTAATCTAAATGCTGTGTTCCCGTTATAACATCACTGGAAGACGCAAGGAGTATTATTTTGAAATGTTCATTTGAAATCCTCAAGGGTGAAAAATACATTTTGAAAATTACCCTGTTTGAGAGAGGGTGCATGTGATTCAAAAGAGTGTTGTTGGAAGATGTTACACTGGAGTTGGGAAGAGGCCGTTTTGTTCAGACAAACTGCTGAATCGTTGTGAGGTTCTTTACAAATCACTTTGCTCCCTCTACTTCTCAATTATTCGTCCATAAAATGTGGACATAATAATACCCGTCTTATCTGCCTCAGCCCCATGAATTACTTGCTAAAAGTTAAAGAAGGAAATGTGAAACTCCTTTGTTACCCCTAGTGTGCTCAATCTGTACAAAATAATAGTATGGGTTTATTTAATATAAAAGTCCTGAGGATCACCACGTTTTTAAAGTTTCCACTCCATTCTAGGAAATGCTTTTCTTTTTCATTCAATGATATTATATCATTGCAAACGATCATGTTTTATCCCTTCTCAAAAGTTTTAAAAAGGAAAGTAACATAAAAAAGAATAGTTTTCTTCAAACCTATGAACGAACATTCAGGTTTTATTAAGAGATGGTGGAGAAAGTAAAGAACAACCTGAATCTTAACCCAAATTCACATGATCCTTCATTTCCAATTTCTGATTCTATTAAGTGACCGGCTCTTTTTTGGATGGGGGAGATGGGTTTTTAATGAAATCCACCTGTCAGTCAGAGTGAGGCTGGCAGGCTTTTCCGTTCCTGAGTTATATCTGGAGTAGAACCATGGTGATGCTGCTGACTTCGATATGTATGACTCATTCTCTCCGTGTGTGCTGTTCAGAGAGTTGCCCAAGACATGACTTCATAGCAATATGTAAAGAATGTATGAAAATTGGCAGATTGAGTGTTATAGACATTGCAAAATCCATTTTTAACCTCTTTCCTCCCAATTTCACATTTTGCAGGAACTTGTTCTTCTTTGCCAAGATATCTGAATTTGAAACCAACAGTTCAGATATCAAAGAAGAATACATTAGCAAAATTCTGATAATCACCATAAAGTGTTACTTTACATTGAGAGATTACTTTTAAGATCAAGTCATTAGACACAAAGGAGAAAAATATTTATAGCTTTCTCTGCAAGGACTGTACATACTGTGTATATATATATATAGAAAAATTCTGAATGACAAGTAGATTTCATATGACCATTGTTATTTCTGGTCAAAAATTGGAGAAACATTTTCTCCAAAACCTGTATTTTATGCTACATGTAATGGAGTGGTACCTTTTTATGATTTAGTGATTCCTATAATATGTTCCTATACTTTTTATTTTCAAGACAATTACTCTATTGTTTCATGGCATTTCTAAAAATATATCTCCATGAGATATGTACTTTGTTTCATATTGAAAAGTATAAAATTTATCTTTAAATTCCTGTGTGTGTATCCTATGGTTATCTGTATGTATTTTTTTTATTATTCTAATAAAATGTATAAAAATCAAATGCCTATGCATGATTAATTGTGTTATGGTCAAAAAGAATATTTTAAGGGGGGAAATAAGAGGGCACCATCATAGTTTTCCTGATGCTATTATTTCTTATATATTTCAGCCTACTTTTAGTCTTTCCAATTCTTACCCTATGATTTTCTCATACCCTATTGACTGAAGACTGAGTAAAATGAGCAGTTTGAGGCAATGTCCTTTATATTAAAGATATTTCATGTCTGGGGAGTGGGAGGGCAGGAAAGAGGAGCAGAAAATTCCCTTTATAGAATTATGGTATCTAGTTTCTTCTGACTATTTGGTTGCTCTGGCTACTCCCACATTTTTGACACATATTTTCTGAAGATTAATATCGACTTAACTCTTTCATTGACTTTCTCCTTGGTACCAATGTTAGAGACTCGCTTTTAAACAATCCTTGTGGTATGATATAGTCTAAATATTTGCAAACATATGCTATAAAAAGACTAGTTTTTAATTTGTAAAGAGTTTTAAATGTTATTGTTGGTGTAAGGAAAATTAGAGCTAAAATAGTAATTCATTTTCTTACATGAAAATTCACATATATTTAGAGGCAGGAGAATTAAGTGGGAAAAGTGTGTGTAGGGGTTGCGCCAGCAGGTGTGAATGTGTGTGTGGGGGTAATGTGAAATTTAAGTACAGTCATACGAGGTGCAGCAGTGTGCCCTAATGAAGGACAAAGAGCTGGAAATACGCAGAAACTGATTATACCACCCAAACCAGCCCAGTGTCCTCTCCCCAAGAGCCAGGGCTGTTTGACATGGCAGAATCAGGTCAGCAATGATGTTCTGCCTTGATCTGAATAGCACCTTCACCAATTAGTGGTCGTGTGGTCTTGCTCAAGTTCCATAACTTCTCTTAAGTCTCTGTTTCTCTGTCTGTGGAATGGGACCACGGTGGTATTTCCCTCATAGAGCTGTCAGATCTTCAGTGACTGCTAAACTCCCCTGTGCTGAAGTTTCCTCTTCTATGGACATTGAGGTAATTGGTGCTTCTCACTTAAAGGACTGGCAGTTAGTATATAAGCTGATGTGTGTGAGTGCGTAGAACCCTGCTCTTGGCATTAGTCTTGCCATCAGTAGGTAAGTATATGACACTGGACAACAGAAGACAATATCTGAAGGTGGCTTTGCTTTGTATGTTTAGAGCTCCACTTTGATCATATTCTACTAACAAGAAAGGTAAATGATTCTCAAAGTTCCTAGAGGAGAGGGTAAAATGATCCTGGTATCAGATTATGTTTCATAGGAATGTAACATTGATCTTGACCCTCCATGTGCCAGACTCTGAGTTAAGCACTTTGCCTTTGCTAAATTAATCTTCACAGCAATCGTTATTAGTTAGGTACTATTATCAAGCCCATTCTACAGATGAGGAAACCAAGGCTCAGGAAGATTAAGGACACTGTACAAGGTCACCCTAGCAAGGGTATAGTCAAAGGGTATTCTAACACAGGCAATCTGGATGCAGCTTCTGAGTCTGAGGCAGGATTGGGTTTTTAATCCCTCTCAAAATCAGATCCATTAGACTTAGAGATTGTGAATAAGCATCTCTAATGGCAATTTGTAGTATCATTTGTTCTATCTCTATTATTGGTCATAATTCAAATTGGAGACCCAAACACCTGAGAAGCCTTTTGGCTATAGTAAATTTTGATACTCTCTAATTCTTACATGGGAAGCTTTCCAAGTTAAAACTGACCCAGCTTCAGAGTTCTTTACGTAAAAATTATAAAAGTATTTGTTTTGAAAATATTTTTTAGGCTTTATGCTTGATTTTCACCATACCTTTTTTTTTAACTTTGAAGATGGTTTCTGTTGATTTTCAGTGATGTTACCAGGTTTCTGTTGATTTTCAGTGATTTTACCATGTTCAATGAAAACCTAACAGTATAATTCAATTAAAAAAAGAAAAATGATTAGAACGTCACTAGTTCTTTTTTTCCAATTAAAATCACCCCTGCCATTTCATGTTCTTATAATGCCATCTCTTTTTAAGTTTAAAATTAATCTTAATTGAATTCATTTTTTTCAGAAGTATTTTACCCTTTTCAAAAATGAAAATTGTACTGCTATTCATTATAATTTGGATACACTTCAGTAAATATTGTAGGTAAAAATCACAGCAGCAATTACAAATTTGGCAATTAGTAAATGGTACCATTCTTTTGGAAGAAAATATGTAAATAGGAATATGATTCATTTACACAGTTAGGTTTTTCTGCTATTGTTTACATTTGAACCCTGTGCCCTAATTTAATGTCTTGCTTTACATACTGGTGATAATTACCTCTTGAGCTCACACAAGAAATAAATGCAATGATACAGATTTAAATTTGTAAGAAAGGGTGCTTCTATTATTTGTCAATGTTTATTCTTACTCTTTACTCCTAACCTGCCTGCTGAAATTATTTTAGAGCCTGATGATCCTACCCTGATCATCATTAATACTATGGGGAAGAGAAAGAATTATATCCTGTATAATTGGATGTTACCTGGAAAAAAACAGGGGGAAAAAAAACAAAACAGGAACAAATGATAAGAACAGCAAATTAGCAGTTAGTTTGCCAACTGACAGTAGAATGGGAGAGACTACTCTAAATGACAATACTGATGTAAAATGTCTATCTAGACTGGCTAATACGGAAATGACAGGTCCATTCAGGGTGATCATGGTATTAGCCTTTCCAAAGCATCCCAAGGATGGCTGCCCTTCCAAGACTACATTTCAAGATCACATATGGAAATGCTCATTGGGACCATGAACTCTGGCACAGTAAGTACACTTACTCTGTGTGGCTCCTGTGTGTTCAGTACATATTTGTCGAAAGAAATCTATGAATTATTCACCATTTTGTCTTACCCTCTCCTATTTTGCTTGCTTACTTTTTGCTCCTGAGCTGCCTCTAGAGATATTAAGATACGATAGTTAGGAGAATAATGGATATTTCAAAATGTGTTTGAAATAATCATAAGCAGTAGTTCATCTGTATTGGGAAGAAGACAGTATAGCATAGTGGTTAAGGATGTTTGTTCCCAGTCATGGATCTGGGTTGGAATTCTAGCCATATCCCTAAATAACAGTGTAACCTTGGACAAGCAGGTTAATCCTTATAAGACACAGTGCTGATCTCTAACAAGGCACCCATGTAAGGACCTGTCTTGGAAGATTGTCATGGTAGAGGACATGATATAATCATAGAAAGCTTTTATCATAGTTTGGCTAATGGGTACTCAATAACAGAGTCTAATAAATTACTATTATTATTATGTTTTAAATGCTGAATTATTCTTCAAGGGTTATGTATAAAATACACATACATAATAATAGTATTAAATCTCAAAGGGTCGTTCATTAATTCATTCAGTTTCAGATGCTGATCTTGGGGCAAGAGATAGAAGACAAGATGTCTCCCCTTAAGGAGCTGAGAGGCAAGTAGTGAAGCAGAGGAAGGGACTAGAGAGTAATTTGAGGATGAAAAAGATGTTTTAGAATATATGCTCAAGTAACTGTGAGAACCAAGGTCACGCCTATAGAGCTTGCAGCACAATACTGGGCACA